TATATATATGTATGCAATTGAATTGAAAAAACAGAGCTTCGATTCCTATTATATGTGTATATGTATATGTATGCAATTTAATTGAAAAAACAGAGCTTCGATTCCTATTATATGTGTGCGGTTATATATATGTATGCAATTGAATTGAAAAAACAGAGCTTGGATTCTTATTATATGTGTGCGGTTATATATATATATATATATATATATGTATGTATATGTATAAGCAATTTTACTTTGTGTGTTCTAGTGTCTCTTTAGATCTCAAATTTGTTGTTGAAATCATGCCATTGATATATATATGTATGTATATATATGTAAAGAGCCAAATTGGATAATAGTTCTTTGCAACTTGGTTTTTCGACAATGCAATGGCGTGTGTATACAGGTACAAGTTTATAGAACGCTCCAAAAGTATAATCCACGTAGTACTTTTACTCCCTATTTAAAAAAATATGCAAAAAATACTCTTAATAATGTAAAAATACTTCATCTAACATAAATTATTGTTGTAATATCCGTTCCGTCCTTTTACTCTTTCGAAAATGTCCAAGGGGATATATATGCTACTAATCTCATAGAATAATGATGTTATGTGCACATTGCCTTATAAATATATTTTTTTTTTGAAACTTTTTTTTTTCTTTATATATCTCTAGATATATATATTTTTTTAAACTTTGAGAATTTATAGAATAAGGATTTGAATTTTTTGAGATTTCAGTTTACTCTTTTCTATTAATTTATTTTTTCTTTATTTTATTCTTTTTCTTACCAACACTATTAAAAAAAAGAAAAAAATTTCCAATATCAGTGTGCACTGGTTTTCGGAATTTGGAGCAGATTTGTTTTATTTAGTTTGTACTTTATTTTTGTTTTTTATTTTCTATTTTTATCTTACTTTTCTTTTATACTTTTATTTTTATTTTATATTTTTATCTTTACTTATCTATTGCTGGCGTCCTCCAATAGTGTCGGGTCATTTTATAAAATTATTTATTTTTATAAAATGGTTTAAGTAAGGTAATTTAGTCAACTTAGGGTTTAAATTTGTTAGAGGGACTTATTTGCACTAGATTGAAACTTTAGGATGTTTTTTGCACATGAGGGACATCCTCCAATAATGTCCTTTTCGGTCATTTTACAAAATTATTTATTTTTATATATTTTATAAAATGGTTTAGTAACGTAATTGAGTTAACTTAGGTTTTAAATTTGTGAGATGGACCTATTTGCACCAAATAAAAACTTAAGGGTGTTTTGTGCACGTGAAGAGTATGATATGCACAATAAACATACTTTAGGGGTACTTTTTACACTTTACCCATATATATATATATATATCAATGATCCAGAGATGGCTTTCAACACTCTGCCCCTTCTCTTTTTATCATCATCATCATCATCGCTATTTTCTTCTTCTTCAATTAGTTCTACTCGTATATTTAATTCAATGGTTGGTGGGTTTGGTATACGGGGTTAGTTGCGTCCATTAAAATGACTTAAAGAAGGTTAATGTGGTAATTCTGTGATTCAAATAGGTCAATTTATAAGTCAAAGGGCAATACATTAATTTATCTCGTGTTAGAGGGGTTGAGGTGTCTTTGTTAACTTTACCAAACTTAAGGGAGTGTTATTGCTTAAAAATGGGTTAACCTATATATGGATGTCAATTAGGCAAACTTTAGGGGATTTTAATGTAATTTATCTTAAATTATATCTCATAAAATATATATATATATATATATATATTAGTAGATTACGAGTTTACCCTTTTATCCATCACCTATGTTACAAGTTACAATACAAATTATCATATATGATTATATTTACTATATTATCACTTATAAATTACTTATTCACCACTTACCTACTCACAATGGGACATTTTACATATAATTCAATTCAGTACCCAATAATACAATTATTCTAATAAATATTAACTGCAATTTATCCTTATATCATTATTTGGTAATAATAAATATAATTAAAGATATTACTTTTTTCTAAGTGTTTAGACTTTAATCATCATCATCGTAGTTCAATAACAAAAAAAATAAAAATAGAAAAATAATAAAATAATTGGAGTGATTTGGAATTTCTCCGTGCCACCAGGCTACACACACGGAAAAAAATAAAAAGGGAAAGGGAAAAAATGGGAATGAAAAATATTTGTGTTGACTGAAAAGGGTATATGTCTTACAATTCCATATACTAATTTGTTAAAAAATAATAATAAATTATATTTCAATTGTTCGAATTATAGGAAGATATTGGGCCAGGGCGAAGCAGCTTGTCCCCTGTTAACACCCTAGGCTCAGGTTCATCTGGTCATCAACCGGGTCAGTCCAGTTGCTCCCAGTGCTAGCTCTAGGGCTTTGTCAGATGGCGGATATGATGGTGGGCTGTTGGGAAGCCTAGTCATTGGACGGTAAATGGGCCTGATATAATGTAACCAGATCTAATTTTGGAATTAATCGGACTAAATTCAGGTCTATTCAAGAGTTTAAATTCTCTAATACGACAAAAAATAAAAAATGGGATTATCATCTTAATAATCATCCTTCTCTTAAATTTCTGTCTGTCATTTAGTTCGAATCATTGACAAAGAGGATATAGGCTGAAAAGAAACATTAATATCATGTCAAATTCATGGTAAGTGTCTAATTGTGTAAATTGGGGAACAATACTTGCCTCATATCAAATCATTGATTGACGCAATGACAATGACAATAACATGCGTCGTATGCTCCTTGTATTTCATATGTTCCTTGTATTTCATACTGAACAAGGTTCCGTAAGAGCGTCTTCAATGAGCTCATCAAATTTGTCACGCGATTGTTGAGTCACGTTATCGTCTTTGAGAGAAATGTTAGTATTTTAGATTCTTCAATTTTTGACTAACAAAAATGTCACAATAGCTTTTCAAAAATAATAATATTTTAATAATTTTTAAATTTTAAGAAAGTAAAGAATTTGTATCTTAAACGAGTATTGAATAGAGTTTGGTTGAATGTGAGGTGAATGATGGCAGGAGTTGATAAATTTCAAAAGGTAAAAAGTAAGGGGCAAAAAAAGAAAAAAGAAAATCCTAAAATAAATATATATTTTTTTCTCCAATAAAGCGGTTTAGGCATAGTGTCTAATGGCTTTTAGGTTCAGTTTGGTCTAATGGAAAAAGGAGGAAAGGAAAGGGAAGGTGATGGAGGGTGATTAAAAAGGTGTGTTTGGCATAAATGGTGGGAAAGAAAGGGAAGGTGATGGATGGTTTTGGAAGGATAGCTCAAGTCATGAATAGTGCTTTTCTTAACCTCCCAAAAATGAGAGGAAATGGAAGGCTAGGGTTGATGTATTAGCTCTGATGTCAAAGTTACCCTTATACAAAATCAAGATTACACTTGATTTTAGGATTTAGTTTGCAAAACAAGAATTACAGACCTTGATTAGTTGATTTAGAAAAAAAAATTAAAACAAAACCCTTACATATATACAAGGTAGAAGTTGCAGCGAGAGAGGGGGGAAAGCTTGGAGAGTTGAGAGACAGTGGCTGAAGCTTGCGAACGGCGAACAGCGTGCCCGAACTGGAATAGCGGGCGATGGAAACCGAAAGATATGGGTTTCGATTTTTTGAACAATCTGAAATGATATGCTGATATGGGTTTTGATTTTGTAGTTTCCAGTTGCAGAGAGAGAGAATACAGATGGAGGCGGAGGCTGAATTGATTTGCCCTAAAAATATATATATTTTTTATCAGATGGAGGCGGAGGCTAAAATGATTTGCCCTAAAAATATATATTGTTTTATCAATATATAAGGCTGAAATGATTTGCACTTAAAATATATATTTTTTATCAATTTAATATAAAAGGGTATAATAGTAAATTTATATAAATAGTTTCCTTTCTTTTCTTTTCCCTTCTTTTCCTAAACATAATTATTATCCTTCCCTTTCTTTTCCTTCATTAATATATATTTTTAGAGCAAATCATTTCAGCCTCCGCCTCCATCTGATAAAAAATATATATATTTTTAGGGCAAATCAATTCAGCCTTCGCCTCCATCTGTATTCTCTCTCTCTGCAACTGGAAACTACAAAATCAAAACCCATATCAGCATATCATTTCAGATTGTTCAAAAAATCAAAACCCATATCTTTCGGTTTCCATCGCCTGCTATTCCAGTTCGGGCACGCCGTTCGCCATTCGCAAGCTTGGAGAGTTGAGAGACAGCGGCTGAAGCTTGCGACCGGCGAACGGCGTGCCCGAACTGGAATAGCGGGCGATGGAAACCGAAAGATATGGGTTTTGATTTTGTAGTTTCCAGTTGCAGAGAGAGAGAATACAGATGGAGGCGGAGGCTGAATTGATTTGCCCTAAAAATATATATATTTTTTATCAGATGGAGGCGGAGGCTGAAATGATTTGCCCTAAAAATATATATTGTTTTATCAATAAATAAGGCTGAAATGATTTGCACTTTAAATATATATTTTTTATCAATTTAATATAAAAGGGTATAATAGTAAATTTATATAATTATTATCCTTCCCTTTCTTTTCCCTTCTTTTCCTAAACATAATTATTATCCTTCCCTTTCTTTTCCTTCATTAGTCAACCAAACACGATGAAGGGTTAAAATTATTCTTCGTTTCCTTTCATTTCCCTTTCCCTTTCCCTTTCCCTCATAACTAATGTTATCCTTCTCCTTCAAACCCATCGTACCAAACATAGCCTTAGTTCAGTCAAGCGCAGATGAATAGGCAAAAAAATGCAAGTTCTGGGTTTGTAGATGCTATAAGAGATTTGACAAATGAACATTCTTTTATCTGATAATAACTTCGAGTAGATAATCCTCCCTCAACTTTCTAAAACCAATATGATTGTAGGTACACCATTGTGCAGAGTACAAGTGATCAAATCACACATCTTATTCATTTATTAGAAAAAATACATATATATTACACTTCTTATTTGTTAATTAACATAATAAAAGCCTGCAGTACATAATTTGAATTTAAAATGCAGTTGTATCATCAAACACAAAGCCATCATCTCCCGCCACCTACTGAAATTGTTACTTGATCCTTAATGCTATCATACCCAGCTATTGTATTACCACCACCACCATAACCGTGATCCTCCTCCTCACGGAGCAAGTACACTCTCTCCTCTGAAATTATATCGGCATAGTGCTTTTCCATTGTTCTCAGTCCCTCAAGTTCCGCTGCTACTTCCTTCATTGTAGGCCTTTCCTCGCCTTTTATCCTTAAGCACCTTTTTGCAAGATTAGCTACTTCTTTTAACTGCTCTGTATTAGATTGCACCAAACAATCGTCCAGGATTTGAAACAGGCGATCATCTTTCAACAATGCTAGAAAATACATAGCAAGACTTCTTTCCTCCTCTGGCCCCGTGTAAGAAAGTGGCATCCTTCCTGTGAGTAGCTCCACAAGAACTACGCCAAAGCTATAAACATCACTCTTTTCAGTCAATTGACTTGTATGCAAATATTCAGGATCTAAGTAACCAATGGTTCCTTGCACCATCGTTGATATTTCTGCTTCGTCAAGTGGGACCAATCTTGAAGCTCCAAAGTCGGACACTTTTGTAGTATAATTATCATCCAAGAGTATGTTCATCGACTTGACATCTCTATGAATGATAGGAACGGAAGTTGCATAGTGCAAATATGACAGTACTCCAGCTGTTTCTGCAGCAATCCTTAGACGGGTTTCCCAAGAGAGGACAGAGGTCTTTCCTTCGCTATGTATGTGGTGGTAGAGGGTGTCATTGGCGATGAATTCATAAACTAATAATGGGACTTCTGTCTCTAAACAACAACCTAAGAGTTTTACTACGTTCCTGTGATTAATTTGAGATAGTATAACCACCTCATTTATAAATTGTTCAATCTGACTTCGATCCACCATTTTCGACTTCTTTATGGCAACTATCTTGTTGTCTTGGAAAATTCCTTTGTAAACCGTACCATAACCTCCTTGACCTACGATCCTACTTTCATTGTAGTTGTTGGTGGCATTGTCAAGCTCCTTTTCTGTGAAGATTCTAATAGTATTGGCAGACAATTGTCTTTCAGAGAGTTGTTGTAGTAGCAAAAAACCACCATTTTGCTGAAAAAACTTCTCTTTGAGCATGATGAGCTTTCTTTTCTTGAATCCCCAGTACAACCAAATGCCTCCAATTAATAAAACTGCTAAGCCTGTACCAATACCTACATTTGACCAAAGAGTATACCGTTAAAACTCAACTCTTAAGTACCAAAAATAATTTTTTTTTTTTTTTTTTGAAGAATTAAATACTCTTCAATGCGTGATTCTGCCGGAGTAAAATTAAAACTATGGTTTGATTAAACAAAAACATTAATGGATCAATGATAGTTGATATCATTTTTTTTTTTTCTTTCTAAAATTTTAAAAATACAAAAAGACAAGTACTACATTTATCTATTGTGATGTCAGTGTTAAAACTCAACTCTTACGTACCAATAACATGACATTTTTTTTTTTTTTTGAAGAATAAAATACTCACGCATGGATGGTTGAAATATCAATGCGTGATTCTACCGGAGTAAAATTAAAACTATGTTTTGATTAAACAAAAACATTAATGGATCATAGATAGTTGATATCATTTTTTTTTTTTTTTTTAAAAAAAATTTTTAAATACAAAAAGACAAGTATTACATTTATCTATTGTGATGTCTATGGAAATGATCTCTGTATTAAGGTTGGAAGCAATTATCGTTGAGTGTAAGAATATATTGACTTACCAGCTGAGACCTTTATCAATAACAACGGGTCTAGAGTGCATCCCCGTCCACTTCTTTTGCCGTCCCCTTTGTGCCACTTTGGGCATGAACATTCATAACTGCCGTCAATGTTTTGACAACTATTTGTGCAGTCATTCAGGGTTGAATTCTCACATTCATTAATATCTGAAATTAATCAAACTGATAAGCATGGCCATAACAAAAGAACTTTTGAGCAACATATATAAGCAACAAGTTTTACTTGAAAACCAACGTGAGACCATGTTTGTTTCACAGTGAAATGTTTTTCGAAAATCATTTTCTGGTGTTTGGAAGATTTCAAAATTAGGAAATTATTTGTCATGTAAATCATTTTACGTCAAATGATTGAAAATGATTTACCCAAAAAGTTTTTATGAGTTGTTTTCTCCGGGGCTACCGTCGGTCATCCTTCGATACCATATTCTTCTACAACAGGTATGAGTCCCTCAAAGAAATTTTTCTTTTTTCAGGCCTTTCCATATAAATCCATAAATTTATACACAAAAATGAGAGGAGAGAAGAAGGGACAGTTTTGGGTGGAGGAGAGAGAAAGTACCGAGGAAAGAGAAATAGAGGGATCCTTTTGCATAGCGCTAGAGCTAGGGACGGTTTTGGTTTGAGAGAGCCCGTTTTTGCAGAGAGCGAAAGGAGAGAGTGAGTTCGGATGGAGGAGAGGAGACAAATTGTTTAACATGGAGGGGAGGGCTATTGTGTTGAAGATCTGCATAGTTGGGAGTTGACAAAAAGAGGCACCGAACAAACAGAGAGTTAATGGAGACTGATGATTCTTTCCTTTTGGTGAAAATATTTTAAACACCAAAAATGAAGGCAAAAAGCTTGCAATTGTTTTACATGTAAATATTTTTTCAGTAAAATATTTTACGTTGAAACAAACAAGTAATAATGTCAAAATTAAAGTACCTTGGCAACCATTGGGCAAAGGCAAATATGGGTTTCCTTGGTAACCTTGAGGGCAATTGCAGCGATAGCCTGGGCCATTATCGGACTCATTGCAGACGCTTTTCTCTCCACATGCATAATTTGTTGAGTTCTTCTTAGCCTCCTCGCAATTTTGATCACCTACTGCCCAGTCCAGCACAGTGGGAACAACACTTGTGTTTTGAAGATCCCTTAGATCGGCTCTGGAGAAGTTATAAGCCTCTTCTTCCACCACGAACGAATAACTGCATCGACTGAATCCCCATACCATGGTGTGGTTCGATATGCCTCCAACGCTGGTATTAAAGATCAAAAGCCCTTTTGGGATGAGGCTTTGGCAGCATCCTATACCGGAGCAAACCCCGTCGCTCACACTATCTTCACTAGCACAGAATGACATACATCCAGTCCTTACAAGGTTGTCTCCTTGGAGAGCTGCAACCATCGCGAGCGTGTCACAACCAACAGCAGTGAACTTGTTACGGGTATACGAAAAGGGGAAAGTTTTTAAACGAGTAAAAGCAGTGGTCCTGTATTCTATGTATCCCCGGGAGTCATAACAAGTTTGGGCTATAAAAGTATGGATGCGCAATTCATGAGCATCAAGGGATATGTCCAGAACTTCTATGTTAGAGGTTTGTAATTGTGGTATGGGCGGGTTGAAGGTGTGGTTACAAGTTATCAGAAAATCTTCATTGAAGTAACAGCCCTCGCTTGTGCCAAAGGGGTATGGAATGCTTACGTTCCCACAATATTCTTCACAATCGGATCGAATTGTTTGAGATGCTTCTGTTGCTAGTGCTGCTGCTGCTAACCACCATAGCAACACCATACACAGATGCTTCCTTTGCAAAGCCATGAGGCATCTATCTCTGACTTCTCTCGGTTTGGAGGGAAAGGGCAACTTTATTTCTCATTTCCCTTTTGAGTGTATATATATATATATAAATATATAGCTATGATACAACCTCTGAATGGAGTTAGTCAAACTTATGGACAATTAATGATTTTTTCATTTTTTTAATATAAAAACAAAGTTTATCGTGGTGACCCGGTCCACACCCTTACTCACATTGCCCCATTAAAAGTTGTCCAACTTTGACGCCATCTATGATTTTTCATATAAATAATAATAATAAAAAAAGCCAAGGTTGCCTGATTCCAATAGTTTGAATTTGACTTCATATAAATATTATTTATTTATTTATTTAAATAATTATTTTTAGACAGAATTGAAACAACCAAAATGCTGACGCCAGAATTTCTGATGCATGCATGGAAATGGGACCAATCTTCGTTTAGAATTGGAGAACATGATAATATGATACTTTTCTTTAAATATATTCGACAACATTTAAAGAATCTACAACACATATTCCATCCGAGTGAAGAAAAGAACCAAGGCCTAACAACTTAATCATGCTAATATGAACAATACTTACCTATTTATTAGTGAGTATAGTCTTGTAGTCCATCGTAAATGTAAATATATTCCTTAATCATAAGATTATAATAATAAATAAAAGAAAATAATTTTTGTACGAAATAGTTACAATGAATTACTAGACTTATTATTTTAATTGGTCAATTATACAACAAATAAGAAAATGGAACGTTCCACTTAGTTATATTTGATAGAAATAGCCAATTAAAAATTATTCTGTTAGACAATTTATTACAAGTGTTCGGTATGAGTATCACTACTCAAAAATAAATAAAATGAACTACAACCACTACAAATTTGAATTGCTACAAACACACGACTTTCATTAATCTACAAATGTCAATTACTGGTGAATAAGTAAATATTGTATATTATGATAAAGGTTAATATTTTTTAAAATGCAAAACTAAGTCATATGTATTGATAATTAACTTGTCTAGAACGTATTAATCTATGGTGTTATTTATTCAGTTTACCCTTTTGATTCGACTCATAGTACTTATTTTTAATTTTAGTTAAGCAAATTATTACAGTTTATCACTTATCTAATTATGCTGACCTAGATGACAAAAATATATTTGGACGAGCCTAATATACCGCATTATCGTTATGCCCACTCAAAAGTTGGGTGGGCATACCAATAATGCGGAGGACTTACCCATTATTTACTTTTAAATTACTACTGTCGCTCTGGTACTAAAGTGGTGTCTGAAAGTTTTTCGTAAACAATTTATCTATTAATTATTTTCTTTCTTTTAACATTTGTTAGAGATTTAAAATTAAATATTAAAGTTATACCATCTCCACCAATTTAGATAAAATGGTTGTTAATATGGTAATATATATCTTTATATATAGAGAGAGAGATGCCTCAATAGTTCAGTGAATTAGTGTTTTAGGTAAATTTTGGAGTGTCAGGTTTTGACTCTTTGTATCTACTAACCTAACTTCTAACATTTCTTGCTATATATATATATATATATATATATATATATATATATGTGTTTTTTAAAGTTAATTTTAAAATTTCCCATAAATAAAAATTTGGAAGCTGGTAACTTGTCATCATCATACATCATTTAACTTGTTATGATATTAATGAAGATGTGAACACGGAGAGAGGAGTATTGACTCACCCATGATGAAGTCTTTAAAATGACTTCTATGGTTATGCAAAGGAAGTCGCTATGACGAGGATGGTGACACCATACCTCTATCCGGCCTAAAAGGTAGAAAAACACTTTTATGTTATAATTCATTTGGTTAAATATTCTAAAAGGTAGAAAAACACTTGTATATCATAATTCATTTGGTTAAGTCTTCTAAAATAGCTTTCTTAAAATATTAGTTGGGCCAAGATTTTTTCTTTGTGGTAATGAACATTAGGGCTGCAAATAAACAGTTTGGACTGGACTCGTTAAAAATTTGGTTCAGGCTTGCTTATTAAGTAAACAAGTCAAATTTGAGTTCAATTTTTAACCTCGTTTAATAAACGAGCCGAGCTTGAGCAACACTGAGCTTCGCTCATGAACAAGCTCGTAATACTCATTTATATTATTATTTTACATTTAAGAGGTTTAAGCCCATATAAATATAAATTTGGCCCAACCCACCTGTATTCATTAATAAGGCCCAAGAATTATAAATTAAGTAGCCCATCATCTGAAAATGATTTAATCCCAGCCACAAGATTTTAGCACATCACGGTTCTCTAAAGATAAGAATAAACCTAAAACAAAAGTCTAGCGGCACGCCTCTTCTTCTTCAGCTCCACGATCTCGCCGGCAGCCCTCCACATGCTACATAGAGCGCTCTCTCTCCAACGGATCGTAAAGTATAGGAGGCAAAATATTGTAAGGTTTGATTTTATCTGAATATGATTTAATCCCAGCCACAAGTATATGATTTGTAGATGGAGTTACAAAATATTGTAAGGTTTGATTTTATCTGTAGATCGAGTTGATAAACATATTGTTTCTTTTTCTTTTTGTGGTTGAATTTCTTTCTCGTCGGTGATTAAAATCGGATTTCATGGAAGAAATCACAATAATTTCTTGAATCAATAGTTGTTGGGTCATTGGGTGCGCAACCGAGCTCGAGTCCGAACCGAGCCCGAGCTCATTGAATCCCTATCGAGCCGAGCCCGAGCACCTCTCTGAAGTTGACGAGTCGAGTCCGAGCAAGCCCAAGCTCGACTCCACTCGGTTCATTTGCAGTCCTGGGCACTAGCTCAAGTGGTATAAGCTATTTTTTCAATAATATATGTTGAGTATTAGAATTTCGGTCGAAGCATTATGTGTATCTACCTGTCTTCATTGTCCAAAAAAAAATCAGTGAAATTTATCCTTATTTAAAATAATAATAATAATTATTATTATTATAAGAATACCAATAAAACATATCACTAACTGGGAGGGAAGAGTTTCCGAAAAGTTAAAATATATAGATGGAAGTTTTCCTATTTATAATTAGTCATTAAATTAACTTTAGCACTACTAGCGTAAGCGCTCAAAAAATTATGAAATATTAGTAATAAATTTTAAAGGGTTAAGTGCAAAAAATTTCCCTCTACTATCGATATAGTGAATATTTGTGTGGTAAAAAACCTCCCTATACTATCAATTTGGTGCGATTGGGTCCCTAGTGGTGTAAAATGACGATAATACCCTCACTTCAATTAAATAAATTAATGATTATAATATAGGTCATGTAAAATGACCCTTTTGTCCAAATTTGTATAAAATGGGATTTGTTTGGCAGAAGGATAATATAAACCTCAAATTGTATAAAATTAGGATAACCTAAACCTGTATATAATTAAATCTAAAACCAAATATGCCCTTTTATATTTTAAAATATAAATAAATTTGTCATATATATATATGTGTGTGTGTGCGCGCGCGCATTACGGCAAATCTATGGGTTTTAAGCCCCCCCTCTCTTTGTGCAACTGTAAACTACAAGAATCAGAAGTTCAAAATCCATATATTTTAGTTTATCTATCTGCTGCAAGAATCAAAAATTCAAAACCCATATCGGCATCCACAATCACCTTTTGTAAACAACACCATTAGCAAACCCAAAAAACCGTGTAGTTGCAGGTTCTGTTTGGGAGAGCATAATGAAAATTGATGAAGTCGAAGGAGGTATCTAAGTCTTCAACCCAAAATCTGAATCTTGTGAAGAGGTTGTATCGGCAGCAACAAGATCGGACCTGATGGCGCACTACAAGAAATTCAGGTTTTAGGGACAGTCGAAACTGTCCCTAAAAGTACCAAATCCGTCCCTAAAAGTCAAATTGGTCCGTCACTAAAAGTTGCGTGCCAAAAAAGCTTTAGGGACGGTCAAAACTGACCGTCCCTAATACTTTTGACCTTTAGGGACAGTCCAAACTGTCCCTAATAGAACCGTCCCTAAAACTTTTTTAGGGACGGTCCAGACTGTCACCAATAAAGTATGAATTAGGGACAGTCATTTATTGTATTAGGGACGGATTGACCGTCCCTAATACATAATTTTTCAATTATAATTATTGTATTAGGGACGGTCAGGACCATCCCTAATACATTATTTTAATTATATATTTTAATATATTATTGTATTCGGGACGGTCAGACCGTCCCTAATACGTTATTTTTAATTATATATTTTAATATATAGTATTAGGCACGGTTGGGACCGTCCCTAATACATTATTTTAATTATATATTTTAATATAATATTGTATTAGGGACGGTCTGACCGTCCCTAATACAATATTATATTAAAATATATAATTAAAATAATGTATTAGGTAATACATTTTTTTAATTATATATTTTAATATATAGTATTAGGGACGGCCAGGACCGTCCCTAATAAATTATTTTTAATTATATATTTTAATATATAGTATTAGGGACGGTCAGGACCGTCCCTAATACATTATTTTAATTATAAATATTGTTATATTATTGTATTAGGGACGGTCTGACCGTCCCTAATACATTATTTTTAATTATATATTTTAATATATAGTATTAGGGACGGTCAGGACCGTCCCTAATACATTATTTTAATTATAAATATTATATTAGACCGTCCCTAATGTATTATTTGTAAATTATAATTATTGTATTAGGGACGGATAGACTGTCCCTAATACATTAATATATATATATATATATATATATATATATATATATATATATATTTATATATACATATATTGTATGCTTAATTTGTGAATTTAACCATTCCGGATACATACAAAACATATACAAAATAGATACACAATAACATTCAAAAAAATATTACTATTCATAAAATAAAATCAATCCACAATATATATATTCAAGATCTGTAAAATATAAAATCTCCAGTTTTGTAAACAAAAACTAAAACCGCCATGTGGTAGCACAAAAAATTTTTCCATC